ATACTATATTGAATACTGTATTGAATTCATTGAATTTGTTAGCAAAGAGTTTGTGTTTGATATTCACAACCAATGAAATCTGATTTGAAACCCAATTGATTTAGTTGTGAACATTTATGCGCAAAGGCTTTATAAAAATTGTTCAAATGTTATCAAAAGTTATCAAAACTTTATTTGGAGATATTTTAATTACACAACTCGTTAATGATGTGTAAAATTATACTTTTTAATTAAAATTACTGAACATATATTTGTAGTTTATATAATACTATAGATTCAAATGCCATAAAATTAATGTTATTTAAATTGCAATCAATTTTATATTTTGATATAAGAAATCTTATGAAAACAGAGATCATAGGAAATTAATGATTAAATTCTAATGTTTTTACAGTAATTGAACATGATAAAAGCAGATGAGATGACCATGGGCATATGGTCCCTAGTTATACTTTTATGCTATGCTGTAACAACAAGAATGTGCTATGCCAAAACTTTAGCGCACTTTTGTTTGAATACATTGTCTGCCAATAGAGGCAAAGATTTGTAGATATTATAGCATTTGATGACAAGAGTTGGTGTGAAATGATATGCAATAATCACATGAAATCCTATTCACTCCTAATGTAAATCGTGTTCACAATTCAAATACATATTAGTATTCATAACAATAATAATTGTAATTCAAAGTAAATATCAATTAATTGATTAAATAAGTTGTTTGCGATTGCAATGAACCAAAGTTTGAACCAAACGCTATAGAAATGCGTTGAAAACAAAAGTTTTATATATTGTTTATCAGTACTCGTTATCATTGTTTACGTATTCAATAAAACTAATTGATATGAGATATGAATTGAATTAATCGGTAAAATTAAAAGCCAGAGCTTATAGTAAAGGCTATACTGTATTACAACGGCCTTCAAAGTGGGGACCCATAGGACAGGCCATTAGGAGGGGAACGACAGCTCCCAGACCTCTGTCTCCAACAACCAGTGCCTGTGATTCCAGTTCTGACGACACGTTTTCAGAGGAAAAAACTTTTTGGGAGAAAATACAAACTTTTCTTATGGTTTTGTGTCTCAATAAAAATATATATTTTCAATAGGTTTTCATTAGTGAGCGAAAAGATTTTAACACGATTTTGATTGTGATTTGTCATTCATTTATGTCAACACTTGTGTCTCCTCTCTCTTGTCTCTCTTGACTCCCTCTCCGCTCTCTCCTTATTAATGATTACTTTACGTCATTTCATACCAGTCTTAGAGAGTCTCGCAAACCATTCCCATCGCTGCGTCCAAAGAGCTCCTTATTGTCAACGATTACTCGTGCGTCCCATCCATACGACACTCGCGGCTAATATGTCTTCGCAGAAGTGGTATCTCAACCAAACGGTCGATGAGAGCGATCCCGAACTCTTCAAACTGATCCAGAATGAGAAGAGGCGCCAGAATCGGGGCCTCGAGATGATCGCTTCCGAGAACTTTACCAGCCTTTCGGTACTCCAATGTCTGAGCAGTTGTCTCCATAACAAGTACTCCGAAGGCTATCCCGGACAGAGGTTTGTCACTCATGTCATGTCTATATCGTCTCTTTGTGTCATTCAATTGGATGTGTTTTTCGCTAAATTTATCAAAAGTTAGACTTTAGAGCCTTTCGTCTGATATATTCTCCCAATCGATAATTAATGTCTAATATTTCATAAG